AAATATCATATATTCTTTTCTGGCATAAGAAAGCCCTTAGGCAAACTACAAAATAGATATGGGTAGCCAAGTACATATATATACTCTCACAGATGAACAGCACAACGGAGTGGTGGTAGCATGCTGGGTTGTAAAGTTATGTTACAGTACACATTCTACTCCCAAAGAAGGGCTCCCATTGTGAAACACGTAAATGTATCTGTACCACATGATACTAGATACCTACCTTTACCCATACCTAGTACATCATACTACAGGTAAATAGGAGAAAGCTAATCTTGTAGTGTTACTAAGGAACTATACTACTGTAGTCATTTGGGGAATAATAGTATTTTAGTGGGAATGGGGAAGGAGAAAGAGGAGGGGTATAAGAAAACTACCCACAAAACTAATGTGGTAAATCATAAATAGCTATAATTAAGAAAGATTAATATGAAATTGAAGCAAACTGAAACCACAGAGAAGCCATGGAACAGACTAATTCAAGCTTGAATTTCCTTCTGCTGAGTTATGATGCATTAACATTGAAAATCAAGGTTTATCATTTTAAAATCATCATTCAAAATTAACTTGCTTCAGTGGCTTTTGTTTTGAGGGAGAATCTTGCTACCAAAATATTCAAAACTTGAACTTTGAAAATATTCTCATGGTATATAATCTGTTGTCTGGTTCCACAGTTATTGGAGAATTGCTTAAAGGTATAAATCTCAACTGTTTTGGTTTCTTTTGTCATAAGTCCTTCTTCCACAAGAGCTACTTTTGTCAATGTGATCTTCCACTCATGATCGAATTTAGCTGCTTGTGTCTTTTTGAAAATGTGCTCATGAGACAGAGGTTATGCTTCATGAATCTTAGATAATATAGTTAGGACGTACAAGGTCTCCTGCCTGACACAAAGGGAGGAAGGACAGTCTGAGAAATGATGGCAAGGGAATTCTAACCAAGAACAAAACTCTTGAGACAACTTCCTTCATGGGAACTATTAGGATCATTAGACTGCATTGAGTCGAAAGGTGATTTACAGACTAACTTCAAAGCAGTATGATTTCATTTAATTTTCAAGTCTCGAATGTAACAGGTTGATACAGCAAAATTACAGGAACTAGTGAAAATTGCAATTAATGGGAGGACTAAATGGTATAGTAATGTGTTGTGAGCACAAACGTCTTAAAACTTGAACAGTTACATTGAGTAATAGACACAAAAGAAATAGCTGCTGTATGTTTTGATTCCAAATAGTGGTTTATGCTTCAGCCTTGTGATAGCAATGAAGATGCTTCGGGTCATCAACCCAACACATTCCCTTGCACCTTATGTTTAGCATCACCAACAAAGCAACAGCTTCTCTTCTATGCTGCTGATGCTTCCTTGGTGCTGGATATGAACCAGGAGCCATGCTAACCACTTTAATTAGCTGAGCCTCACAGCAGCCTTATGAGTTAGGTACTGTTCATGTTCTGATTTGATAGGGACACTGGGGGCTTAGGGAAATTAACTTGGCCAAACACACATCAGCTAGGAGAGCTTGGGAGCCAAGAATCATAAATGTGCTGTCTGAGTCTTTCGAGTTCTGAATAATGGGGCACATAATAAATTTTAGGAGTATCTGTATCCAGAAAAAGATAAAACAGAGAAAATTCTGAACCACAGCTATGTGCTAAGAAATTAAAAACATCAATGTAAAATCTCAAGTCCATGGCTAGCTGCAAAATTCTTTCCTCCCTTTCTTACGGTCTTACACCAGATAACCTCAGTTGGTGGTTAGGACCCAAATAGAAGATACCATGGAACACACTGAATGTTAATAAGCATATCTCTGGATTGTGATGGAAATTTGATTATCTTTATTTCTGGAGGTATCAATTTGGAATCTTTATGAGTTAATTGGAACAATTTCTTTCAAAAGCAATCTAGAGGAGCACTGTCCAGTAAAACATTGTGCAGTGAGAGAAGTATTCTGTGTTTGTCCTGTCTGGTACAGTTGCCATCAGACATGTGTGGCTACTGAGTACCTGAGACATGGCTATTGAGATTCGACAATTGTTTACAGTGTTACTAACTTTGAATGGTTGTCTATTCAGCTAACGTTTTAGGCACTGCAGTTCTAGAAGGTAGATGTGCAATTAGAGTAGGAATTATAGAAGTCTCAGTATATTGCTCCTATATACTTATCATGTCTTTCTCTGGTTAGGGAAGTGAAAAAAGGGTATACGGAGGGCCAGGGTGATTGAGTCCAAAGGTAAAATCATTTCCTATGTTTATCTGTCCCAAATTCCAGCTGTTTTATTGACAAAATTTGGGCAAGCTGAAGATTTGGCAGGCCTGTGTGTCCCCTTGCCTGCATGAATGTGTCAGCACCTCATTAATCTTGGGTTCAACTGTAAAGGCCCTTTTCCCTCCTACTATAGGCCTATTTTTAAAAGGATACTCCAAAACCCCTTTTGCATTTTGCATATTTTTTAAAAATTACAAGTTATTGTATGGGTTAGTTTGAGCATATGTTTTATTTAAAGGTGTCCTGATCATTTCCAGATAGGAATGGAGAAAACTATTTAAAGGGAAGATAAGTTGTGTTTGAATTTTTGAAGACCCTGTTAACTTTTTATTTTATAGAAATTAAGAACCATGAGGATTATCAATATTATTGTCTTTGTTAAGTGATTCTATCACACAGGTGGCCCAGATGACCTTCTCTTGCCAAGAAAAGAAAAATATACTTAGTTTTTCCTCCCTAACGGTTTTTGATGTTGTTATTCAATGTAAGCATTAGATGTTAGTGTCTTTGATTCTGAATATTTTAAGCCTAAAGTCTTTAACGTGTGTGTTACAGGTGCATGGTGAGTTGTCATAACTTTTTCGTTTTAAGACAGACATCTTAGAATAACCACTTTGTGCGTTTCCTGACACTGGAAACAGATACCGTTGAGATTCCTTTTATAGTTTCTTTGGCTAACGACTCCAGTGACCACTCAGTTGTGGTCTTGTAGTAAATCAAAATTTCTTTGAAAGACCCAGTTCTGTTATATAATTGTCAGTGTCCTATAAAGTCATCTGGCTACCTAAAAGGAGAAATGAGTTTCTGTTTCCTTGAATAATATTGACTCTGCCACTGCACATAATAGTTCTTTGAAAATAAAAGAACAGATCATTTTTCTCCTCTTAGAATTGGCCAAGGCGGAGTTACCAAGCTTCAGGCTGTGTCAGACCTGGTTAGTCAATGTTGAATAAAGAGAGGAATCACTTTGCAGACTGCTGTGTGTAACTTGTATGTAGTCCCATGAATCATTGGTTTTAGGTGGAATTTTAGGTTTCACAATAGCTAAGGAGAAAAGAAAACTGCATCCCTGAATGGTCTCTGTTGTTACTATACATTTTAATAAGTGTGTATCATGAGTGATATGGTCACGACCCATAGTTCATCTTATCTTTGGGACTTAGGAAAAGAATTTCTCACCCTATGTTTTCATTATGCATTTATGTCTAAGAAAAGGATAGTGAGATGCTTAAATATAGCCAGGCAGGTGGGATGGGTGTCCAAGGATTGAATACCTGCCAGGCAGGCTTGCTGGTTCACAGCCTTAGGTCCATGCCCGACCTTCTCCCTCTGCCCTGTTATGGTGGTGAAATTGCAATATTGCACAGAGTCTGGAAGTCAGTGTCCCCGTTAGACAACTTGGGGAAAAGGCTTCCGCCTCTGAAACTAAGGCTGACTCTGTGCCAATCCTTGTAAAGCAGTTCACCTCTTCAGAGGCTAATGCTTCTCAAAACCGAGAACAATTACAGCTAAAGTCTTTCCAGGCAACTGGGGAATTGAGCAAAAATAAATCAGAAATCCTCAGCCTTCGCTCTGGAGGCTTGCCTCATTATGAGAGCAGCTCTATTAGCCCTCTTGCCATTGTCTTTCATTTCTCAAGTGAGGTGATTCTAATTAAATTAATCTGCATGTCAATCTATCGGTGATCAATCAAAGAGCCTGAGGTTTCCCCTATGCTGCAGGGTGCTTGCGGCTGACAGGGGCTGATAATGGAGGAAGAAATAAACTGTTGAGCAAAGTTAATTAGTCAACATAATAGGTGGATTAAACGGGAGCTAGCTGATTGCTGTTTCCCGTGTCAAAGCATGAGGTGGGAGCTGAAGCTGCAATTACAGACAATTATTATATTTGGTTGTAAGAGGTCGCATGAATAAACATCTCTCTGTGGGTTTCAGCTTTAATCCCCTCCCCATTTACTGTAAGGAGAAGTGTAGGTCATTTCTTCTCATTGTTTTAGTCAAAGTTCTGCAAGACAACACTTTGGCTGCTGTCAATTCTCGCAAACTTGATTCAGAGTCACTTTATGAGATAGACCCAGTGTCTGAGCTGTGCCTTGGGCCAGTCCCACAATGGCTTTATTTCCTTTTAATTAGCGTGGATTTTGGTGAGAGGGGCTGATAGGGATAGTGATGAGGTGGCTTTGGTCTGACTAGCCAAACTATACTGGGAAGAAAAAGGTACAAATAACAAATTTGAAAAAGACTCAAGAAAAAAAAAAGTAACCCAGCTCTTGTGAAGCATCTGTTTCATTTTTCTATCCTCTTAACCTTGACACAGCAGGGAAGAAATATTTGAAAAGATTCAAAAGATTTTTATTTGCAAGATCAACTGTGATATCTTTTTCAGTGTCTAAACTGAAGGGTAATTTAGGTGAAACACAACCACCCTTGTATAAAAAATATGCTAATAAAGATCCTCTTGTTTAAATTATGGTTAACAGTGTACCTTCTGCTGTATAACTATAAACTGTGCAATTTTACTTAAAACTGCATCAAAAGCGTTGCATGCCAAAGACCCACTCATCAATAGCTCCTCTTGTTAGACTTTTACAGCATACGCGCCAGTTATTATGCGAAATAGCTATGTAATTTTCTTCAGCTCCCAGCTGTTATTTATTTAACTTGAGTTTATTACCCGCCATGCTTTTATATTAAAATGTTCATTCATTTCTCTCTCACGTCTCCAGGTCGTGGTGTCTACAACAGTCAACGTGGACGGCCATGTCCTGGCAGTCTCCGACAACATGTTTGTGCACAACAACTCTAAACATGGGCGGAGGGCACGGAGACTTGACCCCTCGGAAGGTACGCCCTCTTATCTGGAACATGGTAGGCGAATCATTTTCATTGGTTGGCATTGTTACTTTAACTGTGAATTAATTTGGTTTCTTTCTTCCACTCCACCACATTTTCTAATTTGTTTCAAATTTCAAGTGCCATTTTGAATAATACTGATCTTCTGGGGTTTTCTTTCTTCAAAATGTGATGCTGAATGTTTGAAGACAAGTATCTGAGGTCTACCCCAACCCCTTCTTGCTCATTGCCTGGTTCCCTGCCCTGAAATAGACTGAGAAAGAGAGGAAGACATGGACCACAGATTTAAGTTTTTGTGCCTTCTGAGTTTGAAGTCCAGATCAAAGATTCCTGTGTCTTGTGCATAACTCTCCCCTCATCACATGAGGGGAGATGGATTTTGGTTCATTTTGAGAAGTATGGCTAATCAGTGCTGCCTCTGAGGTGACTAGAGGAAACCAGATAAAAATTTGAATCAAACAAAGTGAATGTCACTTGGATGAACCATGTGTTGGATTGAGAACATGTCTGGAGTTCTTCGTGCTGTGTGTGTATGTAATATAATCCACTCTTCAGTTCTCTGCTCATCAGCAGCCATCCACAACCGAGACCTTGCTGAGCAATAGTCACCACATCACACTTTATCTCCATTCTCCTCAGGTTAAGCGTTAAGTCATTGCAGTCATTTCACTTTCTAGTACACTGGGTTAGCAGGATTCTTCTGTGAGCACTACCACACGGATTATCACTTGATTGCCTAATTTGTCCATGGGCTATAAGCTGTCATGATATAATTGATAAGATAGAAAATTCACTTTCTTGCCAATATTCCAACTTAATAAACATCTCACTATCATGACTTTTTTCTTCTCTCTCCCACCCCTGCCCACACTTGAGTAATGTACAACTGATACTTTTTATTAATTAGCCAGATGTAATGCTCTTAGGAGAGCTTCTTTATCATATCCAGTTTCACAGTCCTTCTTTTTAAAAACCATCATCTTTCAAAGCTGCTTCTTTATGGTTTCATTAGTGCTGAGATGGGGGGATTTACTTCTTGCAAGAGGCCACTTGAAGCACCTGCTCATGATTATATTCCTAGTTCCATTTCTGTACTTACAATTATTTTGGATTCTCACCCTTTTCGTAATATCACCCTTTTAATATACTTGGAGTCACTTAAGGTATTGCACAACTAAATATGTTTAGTTAACAGAAGGGAAAAAGCAAGGAAATCCTTATTTGGTACATTTGGAGAGCACTGATTTAAGAACTGAAGTTATGTTTTGTTTGTTGAGGTGGTCACTGTCCAGTCTGGAAACAGACGACCCCAGTTTGAAGTTTGCTGGGCATGAATTCAGTTCTAGAGATGCTCCACATGCAGCCCATACCCAGCTCCTATTTCTGTCCTCATATAGCCAGTAAGATAGCTCAGGATACTTTGGAAGCCATCCCACCAATCAAAAAAAAAAAATCAAAGAATATTCTACCAGAAAGAATGCCTGTGGAAAGGGAAGATCAGTTCCACAACTTTCAGTGTGATATGCATGACAGAGCCCTAAAACTGGTATCCAAAATCCTAAATTCAAGTTGTCATTTTACTTGGCACTGTGTCTTTGGACAGGTCATTCTAGCTTTTGGGATTCTTGGTTTCTTCTTGGTGAAGGGAACATTACTATCTGTAGGGTGTTGGATAGGGATAGATGATGCCAACAAGGGAAGTAGACTAGGTGGAGATGGAAGGCAGGCCAGAATATATTCCCTCAGCTTGATAGGGGCAGAAGTACCCATCGGGCAAGATTTAGAACTCATCCAATTTTTTATTGCTGGTGAATAACTACAAATTTTTGAAGTACTAAAGGTAGGAAAGGAGGAAAATTAAAGTCACTTGGGAAGAACACAGCCTAAGGCTAACAATTTGATCCAGAGACCTCTGGATTAAAATGTTCCTATACTTTCTTTGAGCCCAAATATTCTCTCTTCTAGTAGGACATATTAATAATTCAGCTGGGATATCTGGCTAAGTTTTAAAGGCATTTATTCTTCTACTCTCATTTGCCTATCTAGAATTAGCCATGTTGTTATTGAGATGCTATTTAAGAAAATGATGAGATTTCATTATGATTGAATTGTTCAGCTGGCATTGGCAATGGTAGATAGGTCCTGATTTCTTTAGTTCAGATGCCTCTTGTTCTCCAAAGCCTGCTTTCCCTTATCTCCCATGGATTGAGAAGATAAGACACAGATCCTTAATGATGACAATAGAGGAACATCGAAATCAGCCTCTCTGCTGGGTGAATCAGCAGCTACTCACAACCACCCACTCATTTAGGTGCTTCAAGCTAATACATAAATATCTACTGAGCAGAGGGTGGCTAACCCTTTTATTAGAAATGTGTGGGAGTGGATTGAGATGCTAATTCATGTTGATTGTGTCATACTTCAGCTTGTGTTTGAGAAATCCTATGTAACAAGGCCCAGTTGAAGGCTTACAGAATCAAGTCTGACCCCTCGGCCTCTCCACTCCCAGCTTCACCTCAAACCGCTCCTGCAAGGTGAATATGTAAATCATTTTTACCCCTTGCAACCTTCAGGAGCCTTCATTTTACCCATTCTGAACTTTTTACTGTCTCATTTACAGGTAACCTGAATTATTTTGAGCTACTCTGCACATCTCTATTTATATCTTGTTTGCCAGACAATTGGAGGAAAGTTCCCTTTGTGGCTCATCTTGGCGCATTTAAGTAGAAACATACTATGGGTTACATTCATGCCCAGTCCTCCCTATATGACCCATGGACTCAGAAAATACCTATCTCACATAAATGGGCCTGTATTTCAAATATGAAACTTGACAAAGCCAAATTTATCTCATAGAATCCTGTGTGGTCCAAAGAGGGTGAATCCTGGCACTCTGTAGCTCATGGTAATTGCTCTCCCCCCACAATTTTTTTTCCTGCATTCATAAATACTGAGATTTTCTTTGGCTCGATATTTATGGGAGCATTTGGCTTGCAAGGTTTTTTGAGCCATAGCTTTATGGAAGATGTGTATTTGTGCAGCAAGGCAGCTTCAAGATGTAACAGCTCTTAGGGTTTTTGAAAAAGGCATGGGCTTAGGACCAAAGGAGCTGAATGCTTGCAGTCCACAGTAATGCAGCTTGTGTATGACAGATTCCTTGGCACTGTGTGCTGGGGGGACTTTGCAGGCCTTGGGGGGATGTTGTTATTGTTCTGAGTTTCAGGTTGTGTTGACTTGGATTTAAAGCCAACAACTGTGGAATCAGTTTCTCTACTTCCTCCCCTGTGGCAAAAGCAATGCCCTCTGGATGCCATAGTGCAGGGACCCTGTCAGCTTGCATGTGCTAACACTTTATTATCTAATGATCTAATATGCAACAAGGCAAAGTGCCGGTGCTCATCATTCTGACATAGAATGCCGAGAGAAGTGACTAAATTACTTTATGTACCATTAGCGCTAGCAGCTATGGTGAACTTACCGGCAGCATTTATGCAAATGCCCATGAATACACGCTAGTGATTTTGTCAGGAAGCCATTTGACAAGCAGTTTTTTTTTTTTAAAGGGTGTGTGTGTGTGTGTGTGTGTGTACATATATATAATTCTGGCATGCTTGTACTCTTCTCTTGTATTCTGGTTTTTGAATAATTATAGGATTAACCTGACTCTCTGATCAGCAGGAGCCTTTTCTAGGATAGAGGTTAAGCTCCACCTTGGTGTTCTGTAGATCTGGGTTTTTGTTGTTACAAATTTGTACAGCCCTCATATTTATTTGAAAAAAAAGTCAGTGGGATGGCTTGTCAAGAATTTTTAGTCAGTGACATCTTTATCTTTCATGCATTCTGACCTGAGGTGCTACTTATTTTACTCAAATGTGTATGTTTCAAAAAGTACACCAATTTTTCTTAATGGAAAATGATTGAGATTTAGCTTTTGTGAGCATCAAATATGAATGAATTAAACTTTCCTTTAATGCAGCTTTAAAGATTGGCACATGTGGATGTTCCAGATCCCCAAATAAACAAAACAGAAGTGGGGGTGCTGTGGCCCAACTAAAAATATTTGGGTGAATACTGAGTGTTGATGGAGTTGTTGGGCCCCTCCCCTTGGTGTAATTACATTTTTAGGAAAAGAGAACCAAGTTTTCACCGCCACCAGTTAATTCTTATGTTGGAATCCAGCTGTTCCTAACAACATGATCTTATTCTCAATCTTTATGCACTGCTTTAGATCCACTTGTATAGAGCCCCTTTGCTGTTGTCGGTGGCCCCTTGATGTCCAGTCCTGCTGACCACTCAGCTGCCATTCAGTTTGTTGTTTTATGCACATGTGGAGAAAGCTGATTCAAATGTAGAGAAGTTACTTGTAGAGAAAAAAAGGGCTGCAATGATAGGGCCTAAGCCAGTACTGGAGTCTGGAGTTTGGGTCATGATCCAAGTCTTCAGGTGAGTAGCAAGAACTTATTTGAGCCTCACCACTGTCTCTGGGTATATATATTACCACAAACCTGGAGTCAGGAACTAAAGCACAGGTACTCTGATGTAGCACATGAGCATTTTAACCACTAAATACTGGTCTCGCCACAGACTGTAATATTCACAGATTTAAAATTTTCTTTTATCAAAATACAATTGTCTGATAGTTTCATTTCTCATGAAGTTTTTAATTGCCCAAATATTACACTAGCAAACCAACTTCAACAAAATGAAAATTGATGATAACTAAAACAGGGAATATATGATTACACAAATCTGTCTCTTTCTCCTTCCCAAGCTGAGCAGTTGCTGAGTTGCAGTTTCCGCTGAACAAGGAGTTAGGGAAGTAGGGAAGGTCATCTCCTTTCCTGCCCCACCTGTATTTTACAGAAAATGAAAGTAGGACCTAGGGGTGTAACCCCCTCATTCTCAGATTTGGCTCATTTGCCCTCAGAGTCCTTTCAGTGATCTTTACATCTGCCCATGGCTTGTGGGTCAGCACAAATGAATCAGGGTTGCATAGCTTCCTGATCTTTGGATGA